AATTTAGTGCTAAAAAAGCACATTCCTCAGTTGGTCAGGTATGTTTAGGCATTGAAATAACCACAGAAGTAAAATTAAAATTATGAAAAACCCCTCAATGTTTCACAGTCTGTATGACTAATTGCATAATATTTTTTTGCTATGCTTAGCTAAATATTTAGAAGACTGGGAAGGAACACTCCCAAATTTCTAAATGAACAAGAATGTAAGTTTCCTTACCTTTATCAGACACGTCTCTTCAGAGGATGAAAGCAGCACATTCTCTGGCTTTAGATCTCGGTGTATAATTCCATTGTCATGAAGATACTAGATAGATGCAGATCAAAGAAAAATAGACTATTGACATTTTTCAAGTGTAACCTTTCCGATTTTTCATTGTTCTCTCTCTGCAGTTGCAAGATACTAAAATTGAGTCAAAATGAAAAAGGGAAAGAATTGATCTGAGAGCATATTCAGGTTCAGACAATTAAGTCTAACATAGGATACAATCTTGCAGAAGTTACTAACAGAATATACTTATCATTTCATGAATTTATATAAGGGCCCAATATTTGCGACCTACTAAAGTAGTCTTAATCTGCTGTCTGCTGAACTGAAACATTTACTCAGGAGTGCACAGTACAGCATCTGATCACTACATTTTTTGAAGGCTACTATATAGATGGCTCTTTGCCCACACACTACTAGAAATCACACATGGTTATCTTGCCATCAGTGAGCACAGCGTGGATTATTATTTTAGTCCTGTTATTAATAAGTAAGAGCGTTTGAATGTTCTTTCGCTGTAATGAGGTAAAGAATCTTCTTAAACCAACTTGTCAATTGCTTGCACAGGTTTCAGAAGTGACAAATGACAGAAAAATTCATCTGACAATCATCTGCATAACCATATTTCTTTTGGTAGAGTTTATAATTATGTACCTTTACAGCCAGTAGCATTTGATAAAAATACAACTTGCAGGTAGCTTCTTTCATCTTGACTGGCCTTGACAGTCTGTCATACAATTCTCCTCCTTCCATCCTAAAACAAATGCAGGTAACAAGTCAATGTATTATGTCCAAAAAATTCATCTCATTGGACAAGACTGAGACCAAAACATTTGGCTACTTTAGCTACAAAGGAAGCATATTCTTTTGAAAAGGAGTAAGCAACATCCTAAACACAGCACGTGCACTACTGAATTAGGCCCGATCTCCTAAGTCTTCAGTGGGAATTGTTACAAGGGGTTTGATCAGCCTCTTCTTAGAAGCTCAAAATCAAAAAAAGTAGCAGCAATCCACAAGAGCAGCAAAGCGGGCACCTCCCCAGGCACTAAGTGCCTGCCCAGCAGAGCAGGATCACTCCCCAGTCACTCAAGTTCCTGATTGTATAGAGGTTTTGGAAAACAGAAATAAAACCCAAACCAAACCTCCAGAGCTCAGAATGATTTCTCTTCTGCGTGGCTATGAAAAATACCATGTTTTATGCATTTACTTTCAAACAAGTTACTTACAGTTCCAACACAATGTAGTAATCCTCTGCTTCAAAGAAGTTTTTGATCTTGATTAAGCAAGGCTAATAAAAAAGGGAACACAAATGGACACACACAAAAAAGTAGAATGATTTGTAAAAACTAACATTATCAAGAGTTTATCACCCTAAAGCTCCTATTTCAGTCTGATTTCAACCAGGCCTGTTAAACTAACACTTAATACAATTGAGTTGTGCCAGAGGCTTTGGCAAACACTTAGTATTCAAGTCTGTTGTCTTCCCCCCATACCTCCACACACAAAACCATCCAGCTCTTGCAGTGACTACAGCTCAACAAATAGCATTTTTTCCAGTTGTGAGTCACCATATTCTCAGTACTTTTTTACATGCAGTAGCACATTGGAAGCAAGGGAAAGTTCATTAAGCTATGGAAACTTTCTACCTAACAAAAGTAAAATAAATGCCTTTTGCTGGGCAGGGGAGGATGCAGAAGGAAGAGGGAATACAGGTTCAAAAAACTCCCAGTGGAATCTAATCTTTCTATGTAGTTGTCTGGCAGTACTGCAAAAAACAGGCACCAAGGACAGATTTCTACAACAGTGATTCAGTTTGAAACAGTGAAATTACTTCTCAAATTTACATTTTAGTTATTCAAAGTTTAAAACCCTCAAATCTGCAGCTACTTAAAGAAAAAGCATTCAATGGACTTATTTATAACAGAAGTTATACACATCCTTTCAAATATTTTCTAGACAGATAAAATGGATCTTTAGTTACTACACTAAGGTCCGTGAACTACAGAAGTAGAGTAGGCAGCAAAAAGGAGTAAAAATGTACAGTAACACTCACATGATCAATTTTCTTCAAAATTTCAATTTCTGTATTGATATTAAAAGCTGGATTCTATTAAAAGAATCAAATATCATACAGGTAAGAGAGCTGTTCTGGAATAAGACACATCAGAAATAAGAGAAAAAAAAAGAGAAAAACCATCATTTCATGTCCCTTGCTTCTCTAAGTGACCATAACATACAGCCTTTTTTCCATAAACCCATCAGGTGCCTTCAGTGAACAAAATGAACAGTCTGCTTTTATTGTCTGTAGAAAGACATTGCTCCAGACATATTGATTCACTGCAGGTTAGAAATCTTCACCTAATTTCCAAACTACACTAAAAAAATCTTGGTGAGTATGTACCAGTATTGTCCTCTGAACACCTTTCCTCCCTCCAAGATCCTTTCCATATGGGCTAACCTTGAAATTAAATGCTACTTTCTCCAAGCCCTCATAGCAAGATAACATAAACAGATTCTTTTAGCTGTGGCTTAAGCTCAACTCATTAAATCAGCCCAGCATTTACTTTTTTCTCTTCCACTCCAAATCATCTCTAACCACACACAATCAAATCCATATACAACATTCCAATGCAGTCCTATCTGTTTGTACAATGGCATTTCTTAATCTTTATTACAAATGTTTCAAAGTTGCATTTTGCAATTTTCAATCATATTGATGTCATATATTCATCTGCAAGCAATCGTACCTTCTCCTCTGAACTAGGGAAAGTGTAGGCTATAGCAGAAGCTGTCACTGATTTTCAAGTATACAACCTTGCACTATTAAACATTATCTAACTTGTATTTCTCCAGCATACTGTCAGTACTGCAATCTTCCTGGCTCTCAACAGAGACTTCAGGCCAGTGCCAAAGGGTTGAATTTGTGTTTTCCCATTTTCTGTGCCATGATGTGTAAATGTAATAGGATGGAAGACTAATCTCAAGACAAATTCTCAAACCTGCCACTAGTGACTAACTCTGCTCCACTGAAGCCTCCTGGCACCCCTTCCTCAGCTGCCTCTCTTTCCACCTCAGAATTTTTGTCTTCGCAAACATATTTTCCAACACAAGTAGTAGTTTCCTACTTGTCAGTTTGAACAGATTCTGTATATTGTATCTGTGCTCTGAAGGCCATTTTCCCATCAAAGAAACTGAACTAACTTCAGTAAATCCACAGCAGCACAAGCTGTCCAACTCCTCCTTCCATGCACTTTTGCCTCTAACTGTATTTTTCTTCAAAGTTTATCCTATAAGCTTACATAAAATTTAAATAATAGATACAAAGATGCTTGGATCTCTCTCTCTCACACTGGAATACAGCCACTTGGCATGCTTTTCTCCCACAAATTCAGGCTTCTGCTACAAGACACATGGAAAGCCCTTCCCAAAAGGCTTTTTTTTAAAGAAGTATTATGATGGAGAATACAGCAAAATTAGCAGTTTGTAGATTTCTGGTCAGACTTTGCTGTTTACGATGCACCTATCTTATGCCTTGTAGGAGATAAACTCCACGGTACTCCCCACCACCCTTTGTATATACTGAACAAACAGTCCCAAACTATGAACGTGATGAAACGTGGTCAAGGACTAAAAGCAAGCACTTTCTACAGAATTCTACCTTGAAATTACATCCAGGAAGAGACTGGTCTTTAGTTTAAGAGAGCTGGGGAGGCAGCGAGGTTGCCAGATAATCCAGGAGCACTGCAAGACAGCCAACAGACAGAAAACGAAACAAAACCACTTACTGCCTCAATCCCACTCGCAAGAAACTTCCGTTTATTGATGATCTTCACCGCGACTTTGTTACAAGTGCTCTTCTCAAACGCCAGTTTGACTTCTCCACAGGCGCCACTAACAAAAGCACAGCTAGGTTAACACTTGCAAGTAGTTTACAGGAATTTGCGTAACCAGTGCAGACAAATGGAATGAAAGCATTGGATTACACACAACTGGAGGCTGCTGCTTTCTAACTTTCTGAATATGGCATGTTGTCAAAACTTCCTCGGAACGCATTCAATACTTTGGAAGCCTGTTTAAACAGCAAGTGATGTCAAGAGCCACCCACTCAAAAATGTATCAGTAGATCTGTAGAGCAACTAATCTGTTTGTACAAAGGGTACCAGTGAATATCAGGGACAGGCTCTGTCAGCAAATCACACAAATGCATTTAAGAGAACCTCATGAAGAGTTCTCTCAGCACCGGACTGCACAAATCTGAATAGGTATGACAATACTTAGAATAAGTAGCAACTATATTACGGGAAGAAATCCTTGTATTTTGCACTCAGATTTGTTTCCACTTAACCATTCTCCAAATTGTTCATTGACCATCTTTTTCCAAAAGGTAAAAGAACAGCCTCTGCTCAAGATAGCCTTTCCCCTCTTTCCTGAGAACACTTCTTCCCCATTCTGTCTGAAGGCCTCAACAGCATGTATTCTAACATAAACCTCTTCCTTTTACTTCCAATAACTAAATCAAATCTACAAGGTAAAGGTAAAACTTGCTAAGAATCTACAGACTTTATTCTCTTTTAGAGGAAAAAAAAAACACAAACAGTTTCACAGTTAATGGGAGGTTACAAAACCCAAGGCAATGATGGGAATAAAGTTAAAACCCTGTTCTAGCTGTTAAAAGAACAGGTTTATTCAGGTGGTTGCATTCTGGTTTTATTTACTGTTTTTTTTTGCAGCAGCAGCTCAATGAACACCAGTAATTCCAGCCCAAGCTGCTAAACCCAGTAAAGAAAATGAACACTTAAAACTGCAGAAAGCAGGAAACTTACCTTCCCAAAGTCTTGGACATGATATATTTCTCTCTGAATTCTCGAGGAAACACCAACTGATCATCCACCATAGGATCAGAAAATACAAACACTAGGAAGACAAGTGGAAATCGTGTTCCTGTTAATAACTTTAAAACTTTACATAACAAGCAACTATGTTTCCTGAGCTTTTAAAGTCAACAATATAATTAAGAAAGTGCTGCCTGCTAGAACAAAAACATACATATATTTTAAAGCTAACTGCTGCTCTGGTTGACATCAGCTGTGAGTTAGCAAGGTGGTTTCAGCACTGAACACTGACATTTTTGGTATCACCTTCACAACAGTGCTTAAGGAACACTACGTTTAAGGACAAAAGAGGTAAGAATTTTGATGCAACAGCAGGTAGTCAAGAGAAGTGACAATCAGGAAGGTGGCATCTTGGTGCAAAAGCAAAGACAAAGAAACAAAGCCCCAACCCTGCTAATTTTCGTGAGGGTGTTTTAATTATTATGCAGCACCTGGAGGATTTTCAGCTTCCCTTGAACAGCCCATTCCCTGTTCCCTCCAGGACATACAGAGCTACCGACGCACAGAAGTACTTCAAAGAAAGGAAAACAACTATGAAAGTTTATACTACGGTGCAGTGGTCCCTGATGCAGCTTCTTTTAAATTTTCTTCTTTCATGGAAGTGGATATGGGTAATTTTTACATGAGTACTAAAACAGCAACTGATGCAACCCTAATGGCTGTATTTTAACAGCAGCTCAGCTTGCAAGAAACATATTCAAACCACTGCAGAAACGACTGTGTGTCACCACATGAAGAACCTACTTAGTTATGGGACATTTTACCCTTATTAGTCTGTACAGACAGTGCAATTTCAGCGTTGTGAGTCAGTGGAAGCCTCTTCCCTCTTCCAATGAGCTCTCTGTTAACAAAGGTTCCATTTGCACTGTGGTCTTCAATGTAGGCAACATGTGAACTTCTTGGACCCATTTCCTCAAAGAGAAAAAAAAAAAAAAGGAAAGGTAACTGGGGAACAATGACTTTTACTGTGAAGACATGAAAGACTATAGAAAATTACTACTGTTGGCTCAGGAAATCAGACTACTGAGGTTATTTCAGAATGGAGCATTGCCAAAGGTCTTGTTAAAGGAGCCAAAACTGCATACACTTAAACTTTGATTTCTTTAGGATCTGCCCCCACCAAAGGCAATCTTTTCAATTATGCTGGGATAGAGAGGCACAGTTGACCTTTGTACCACCTACCCTGAAAATTCGGAAGTGCTTCTTGCTATAGTTCTGGTAGAAGCCAGTCTCAGACAGTCCTAGCTTAGAAAAACTATAGTCACAGCTTTTGTCTCTTCCAAACCAGTATTCATCATTCACGCAGTCTGTATAGGAGGGAGAAGTAAAGCAGAGAGAAAACAAAACTGCAGGAAGTTATTAACTGTGGCAGTACAGAACGATGCCACAATACAGTGAGCAGGGTAACAAAGGCAAGATCCTTCCCATACAATCAAGGGTATTTGTCTTAATTCAGACAAAGCACCTTGTACTATCAACACCTTGCGCAATATTTTACTGATTTTAGCCTCTTTAGTCAGAGCAGAGCTTCCAGCTCACCCTCAGCAATACCGACTCACACGATACATGAACACAACTATGAAATGGAAAAATGAAGCAAGTAGCAAAGAACATGAATGCCCCAGAACTCCTCTAAGCCCATGGAAGCCATGTATGTTGTACTCGGTATAGACTGTAGTACAGAATACAGCATCACTGCATAAGCTGGAAGCTCGTACTTAACTTTGCTTGTACCTCATTTGCAAATAAAGCCTCTGCTCTGTACCAAACCGCCCAAAGCCTTTCTGAGGTGCCACAAATGAGCCCAGGGGCCTGTAACAGAGCCAACGTACCCCAGTTGCTGAAACCTTTCCCGAGTGCAAAGAGCCGACCCCACGGCTGAGGATTCAGCTCTTCAGATTCCTGGTCCTCGGGGATGCACGGAAGCTCCTGGGTAGGAACGGTGTCCAAAGAACTGAGTGTCCCCGAGCTGGAGGAAGACTGGCTGGTGCCCTGGGACGCCCCGGAGGAGGAGCTGGCACCGCTCTGGGACTGGGGGGCGCCCTGCGCTTCGCTCCCGCTCTCTCGAGACATGTCGGCTTCAAAGGGAACGCCCAACAGCCGTCACTGCGGCAGCGGAGCACCGGCGGCCGAGCCGCAACGCCCCCTGCCGCCCCGCCAGAGCACTGCCGCCCCGCCAGAGCACTGCCGCCCCGAGCCGCCGGGACCGGGACCGGGACCGGGACCAGCTCACGAGGGACGGTCCCGCCGCCGCTCCGGGTTGCCGCGGTGCTGCGCGCGCACGCGCCCGGCCCCGCCCCCCCGGGGAGCCGAGCCAATCGGGGGCGGGCGGGCGGGCACGGGACCCGCCGGAAGCCGCCGTGGGGATGCGGGCGGCGCTGCGCAGGGCTGGCGCTGGGTCGTGGCTGCCGCGCGCCTCGCAGCCCGCCCCGCGGCCGCGCTGCGGCGGGACCGGCCCGGCCCCGGCCCCGGCCCCGCGGTGCTGGAGCTGCGGCAGCGCCCTCCCCGGTGCCGAGGGGCCGCCGCTCTTCTGCCCCGGGTGCCGCGCCCTGCAGCCGCCGGGCCCGCGGCCCGACCTCTTCCGCCTGATGGCTTGGTGAGTGCGGGCGGGGCGGCCGCGGGCCCGGCCGGCCGCGGGGCCTCACGCCGGCTCCTGTCGTCCGCAGTGACCGCTCCTTCCGCGTCGACGCGCAGCAGCTGCAGCGGCGGTTCCGGAGCCTGCAGCGCGCCGTTCACCCCGACCGCTTCGGCCAGAGGCCGCCGGTGAGCGCAGAGAAGAGCGGGAGGCGGCCGGTCTGCCGCCGGCGCGGCCCGCTCGGTTCTCCGGGTTGGGCGTGCGGCGCTTGAGGGGCTCCGGGCGGGAAGAAGCCGCCTCCTGCGTCCGGCTGCGCCGTCCTGGGTGGCGGCGGAGGGCCGGGGCTGCGGGCACTCCCCGGCTCTTGTTTCCCGGTGCTTAGAGCAGACTTGCAGGCCCAGACTCGCGGCGGAGAATGGCGATGCGGGGCTGGCGCTTCCGAGCGCGGGGACACGTGCACAGGTGCTGGCTCCCCGCACCCCAGCTCTGCCAGAAACCACCCTTCCGCTTTATGCACGCTTGTGGCTGGAGAACGCGCTGCCTGCAGGTAGCAGTGTGATGCATCTGCCGCTGGGTACTAACTTGTGACTGTTATTTATCATCCATGTGCAGGAGGAGCAGTACTACTCTGAGCAACACTCGTCCTTGATTAACAAGGCCTATCAAACCCTCCTGAACCCTCTGAGCCGCGGCATCTATCTGGTAAGGTGTCACTGTGTATTTTGTCACTGCTCCTATAGCTGATCGTAGTGACCGGGGCAGTAATACACTGAATCAGACATTGGCTCCATCGTCAACATGCTGATTTGTGTTCCTCTGAAGCAGAGAGCTACTAGAGATTGACAGGAGACCAAAACCAACTTTGTCTTAAAACTTAATAAGCTTTTCAAATATTTTCTTTAACATTTCACTGACTGTTGCCATCTCATTTGCTGCTCATGTCACCCTAATTTGTTTCCTGCATCTCACACTGTGTTTGGCTATAGCTATTCCTTGGAAATTCCGGTCTGGCCTCAACACCTTTGCTGCGATTTTTTTTCCTCTGGCCAACAGCTGATTTGCATGGTTTACCTCTGGAGTCGGTTTTAAGCCAACTCATGCATATTTCCTGGAATAAAATGCAAGTTTATCAGCTATGAATCCGAGTGAGCCCTGTTCAGGGACTAAAGAATCAAGAAAATTCACACTGAAATAGATGTAAGAATGAGCATTTCCAAATCCCCATCGTTTCACAGCTGGAGCTGCATGGAATGGAGCCAGCACAGGAGACAGACTGTGATGCAGACTCTGTGTTTCTCATGGAAATCATGGAAATTAATGAGAAATTAGCAGAGTCTAAAAGTGACGGTATCCTTGAAGAAATTGACACTTTGATTAAAGGTAGGTTATAATATGAGGTGTTTATATAGCTCTAAAATACTCTATCTTGTGTAATATCAGAGTCTAAGACTCTTTATCAACATATTTTAGTATCTCTAACTTGTGTTAGTCTTGAATTGACTCACTGCAAGAGCTTCCCCCAGAAAAAGTTGTCTTTACCAGTTTATGCCATTTTTAATTTAAAGATCAGCTCTGTCTGGAGAAAGTCTGCCCAGCAGTACCTGTTCTGGTGGCAAAAGAGGGATAGCAACTGACTTGTAAAAGAACAAACCACTCAAAATGAAGTTTAATAAAATGCTTGACCGACCACAATAAATAATTTGATTTATACTGACATTATATTTCTTTCAACTTCTTCAACTTAAAACCCATTATATTAAGTGATTATTATCCTTATACAAGCAACTTCCTCAATTGTATTGTTGGTGATGCCCAAAACGTGGAGTGTAGTGGTCTGTTTAATTCTTTGCAATAACAGTAGTGTGCCAAAAGCAATTAGAAAAACAAAAATAAAAACTAAGTAGAATAGAATAAAATTAATTGTAGCAGAGTGAACACCAAAAGTAACTTAGAGCTCTGGGAAGTTAGTGACCATTGATTTGCATTGCAGTTGCTGTCTGTAAACCTGTTTAATCGAAGCAGCTTATCTGCCTGTAATTGTAATTACATGAATCACAGCGTTAAGATGAAAAGCTCTCTCAGCTCCCAGAAGAGTGTGAGGCTATCAACTAGGTTTCCCAACACAGACAGTCAAAATGCAGTGGTATTCAGTATATTAAGTATGTAACAAAAAGTGAATGAAATGATTTGTTTTACAGTTAAACAAGAAGAACTGACCAGAGAGGTGGCTGCAGCTTTTGAAAGAGGTAGCTGTTCCTGTGAAGCATTTGGCTGCCATACAAACCTGTTCTAAATGCTTAAACCCCACATTCCTACTGGCAAATATATCCTGAACTACGGAACAGAAATACTGCAAACACAAGTGTTCTTTGTATGATATTTAGAATAAATACTAAAACCTGACCTTTCAGCTGATGCAGGAAATTCAGGACCTTGCATTAGCTGTAAAAAACCCCGTCCAGTACAAAAGTTCCAGTTAATTCAGTCTGTACCCAGATAATCCCTTCCCATGGGAATGCAGGTACTAAAAACTGTTTTGGTTGCTTGGTTCCCAGAGGAGCTGGAGGGTCAGACTTACCCAAATTTAGCACCAGTTCTGAGGTTTCAGACTTGCATTTGGGGGATCTTGCTCTGCCAACAGAAGCTGGCAGCGGAGTAGCAGGTGCTGAACACCTCAGTTGAGGTGTTCCAAAGTGATCCAGGATGAAACCAGTAGGCATCCTGGTTTAGTAGTGTATTATGAGTCCCTGCAACTTGCAGCTTTTAGTGCTGCAGCAGGTGCTGTCACTGAAATATTGAGATTGATTTGAGGATGAAAATTCAGCCTCTGTTAACTAATCCTGTTTCCTTTAATTTCAGATGACCTTCAGGAAGCAAAGAAGCTTTTAGCCAAAATGAAGTATTTTGCAAACTTAAAGGATAAACTAAAGAACAAGAAGATCCCTTCCTGATGCTGCCTCCTTTACTGTTAATGTTATTTTTCAATTAAACAGCTAATATAGTTACCAAGTGAGAAAAACAGTGTTTGCTTCCTACCTTTTCACTAAAATCTTTCATTCTGAGAGAAGGGAGGTAAGCGTAAGAGAAATCCAGCACTTACTGAGTAACAGATGGAACTGGGAAATGCTGACAGCCAGGAAAAGCTGTAATGGGTAAAGTAGGTAGGACCAGTGTACCAGGAGTCACAGGCACAGACAAGAGTATCACAGAGCACACAAACACTGGATGTAATTAGGATTTCTTACATTTTGACTGATAAAATACGAGTGATTTCTTTTGAGAAAGAGCCCTGGAGAAAATGGTGGGGATGAAGCAGACAGCTTGTTCAGCAGGTCCTTCAAGCTCTGTGTCCTCCTTGGCTCTGTTCTGTTAAACTATCTTGAAGGATCTGTGGAGGTGAAAAGTATTTAGCTGCTGTCCTCTCTGCTTCCTAGTGCTTTTTGTGAGGGTGATCTCAGTGTGCCAGGAACTGACCTTCAAAACTAGAATCTTCACCCTGCTGCTCAGTTTAAAATGTTAAGATGCTAGTTAAGGCAAAAAAATAAACCCAAACTCAAACCCCAGAATCTCTTTTATTTGTACTTTTTTTAGGAAAGAAGTCTTTCTAATAAAACGCGTTAAAAAAGCAGTAATTCAGACAGGTGCTGGTCTGTCTTTGTACAGATACAGTGGTGGGACTAGATTAGGAATGTCCTTAAGTCTTTCAAAGAAGTTATTTAAGTTGCCTTTTATTAAATGTCCTCTAAATACACAGGAGGCTTGAATAAACTGCTTGTTCATGGCATTGCACAGCTAATTTAGAAGATGCTATTCATAATCCTCATGGAAGTTCTGCAGCAATGAAATCCCACAGGTTTTTAAAACCCATCATGGAGCTGTCTTCTTTCAGAAAGCTCCATTTCCTTTTTATTTCTTCCAAAATTAAGCTTGTGAAATTCCTTTTTGATTGCCAGAAAAGACTTGTTTTTTGTCTCAGGAATTACAAAGAAGAGGAAAGCAGCCACGGAGGAGCACTCCAGTAAGAACACCAGGAAGCAATACTGCTTCAGTCTGTTCTGAAAAAGAAATTTGAGTGTAACATATTTCAAGTCCAACAGTGGTGTTTGGAAAATAAAAAGCTTTTTGTTTCACACCTAATGCCGCTGCTCAGATAGTTTTAATAAAAAGCCATTTAACATATCCTTACCTTATATGTAACCTTTTACACTGGGTTTTTTTTAGATAGAAGACTACCAAGCCCTGAGCAACACACTTGGTAGTACAAACAAGACCATTTAAACCCAACGGAACAATCCACAGTGTTAAGATTATCTGATTTTTCTGAATGTTCGTATTTGCCAATGCTGTTCATTAAAAAAAACAACTATCTTGCTGAGAAGAGTTCAACTGAGAAGAAAGGACTGCGGGGTCAGGCTGCCCTGTCACCTGCTGCTCCTGCATGTTTTACTCTCAACTGGGAACACAAAGCTGGGGATGAAAGCCTCTGCTGTTTCCTAGTAATCCTGATCACAAAACCCTCCGTACAGCGCTCTGGGAGCGCTCAAGAGCTGCGAACTGCAAGCCCCAGTCACTACTTCTACTTCGCTTTGCCACAGAAGCACAAGGCCCCATTAAGAGATGTGTTATCTGGATCTTTGCATCTGATGACATTTTTCTAGTTTTGATGCCTTCTGTGGTCCATTTTTTTTGCTCTGAAACTCAGGCATTACTTTCCATTTTCATTTATCGTGGTTTACTATTTTTTTTCTGAAAAATAGTAAATCCTTTAAGAGGGTTTGACTCTAGTTATACTTGGTTGAGGTGTAGTGAGCACCCTATGTTTAAGTGTTACTGCATCAGGAAGTAACGCTGTGATGGAGCCCAAGAGAAGAATAAACAAGAGGCGAGGCAATCGGGAAAACATGTTGCACGCACTTACCACTATGAAGGGGAAGAGCATCCCAATGGTAAAGAAACTAACCCAACTGATGGTCCCTCCTATCATGTAAGCAGCAGGACGTGATGACTGTATGAACAGTTCAGCTATCAGGGTATTTGTTATGCCACCTGGGGAGTGAGTTTCAGAAACAAGAGGCTGTTGACCTAATTGTATATATATTCATAATGGCACATTTTTGAATCCTCTGCCCATCCAGTAAGTGTCCTCCTGAGGAGCAGTCCCATTGCAGCACTGCTCACGGAGGTAGGGAAAACCAAATATGCTGCTGCTTGCTTCGTGTCTGACTGGACTGAACTCGAGGCAGAACAGAGACTCCTCACGCATAGCTGAGCCACACTCTGAGGCTATGGAGGCAAAATGCACCAGCACACGGGCTCATTGTGTTCCTTTGCCAGAGCACAGCAGCCTTACAGAAACATCAGTGCCTGGCTTAGAGAGCACAGCTGCTGCCATCCCTCTCACCACTTCAGAACATGCATTAATTACTGGGTCCTACCTGGCCCCAACCCGAAGCTCAAGATGAAGGCAAAGATCGATGTCATGCTCACATAAGGCACCCATGGGTACAGTTCCTGCAGCAGAAGAGAAGAAGGTTTAGTTCAGATTTTGAGAATCCGGTTTTAAAGTCTGGCTTAACAGTTACATTTTCTTTTGTGATTTTATTGCCTCTAAGACAAACAAAACAGTCATTCATGGTTGTTTACAGCTGACTTATTTAACAGTATTGCTTCAGAGAAATTAAATATTGTTCATTTAGTAATTTGTACTAAATGCAGTCTAGTACTTCTGCTGAGATTTGGAATTAGTCCTCTGAGGCTACAAATCAACATGAACACTGAACGCAGCAATTACACGTTGTTAGCATTTTCTCAGTTTATTTTGGTATTTTATACTGATGCATGAGTTAGCTGCCACCAACTGCTTTCACAGCATGAACAGATTCTTCCTGTATCATTATTTATGTATACATAAATTTCAATAGCACAGTAAAGAAACATTAGCATTGCTCTATACATACAAAACCAGGTGCATTAGAAAGACCAAACTTAAAGCTTGAAATCCCATTATTCAAAAGCAAACAGAGACATTTACAGAAGTTACAATCAGAACAATTAAACCAAGGCCTCTGCCCAGGCTGACTCATTCAACCTGCTGCCTAGCCTAGCAGCTTGCCTCACTCCAACCATGCAGGTAAAAAGCGGGGCAGGATGTCGTCTTTGTGTGATAAGCGTAGAGCATAATTTGAAGTGAATCTCTCCAGTGAGTTTCAGATAGCTTTTGTGAAATTACACTTTGAACTTAAGTGTCTTTTGAATTTCAGCATCCTGACAATATTGTTTGTTCACTTTACAGTTCAATGACTGAACACCAATGTTTAGTATCATCACTATGAGGATTTCATCCTAAAATGACTTTAACTGCTAAAATAAATGCCATTTTGTCATCACTTAGTTTTGTCAGCATTAAACACAGCTGCAGCTTTAAGACAAATACATGACTACATCTCTTATTTTAAGGAAATACAGCTGCATTCTGCAGCTGATCAAATCTTTCAAGCGCTGTCACTTTTTATGCTGCTGTTTAAACCTTTCCTCCAGCTTCTTTTGAGTGTCACAGATTTTCACTCACTACAGTCATATCATGTAACATTAATGAGTCCTGCTTTATACCTGGTAAGTCAGGGAGAGCGTTAAAACAATGCTCCAAAGGGTCATAAGGAGATAACCCCCAATGATGAGATACCTTCTTCCCACGTAGTCAATCAGTAAACCCTGTGGACAAGACATCATTTTCCATTACCATGTTGATCTCATATTTACCAGTGTTCCTGTTCAAGAGGCATCTGTACTCTTGACATTAGGAGGTAGGATAAATTGCTACTTACACATGTGAGGGCTGTGAGGCATTCACAAGCTCCAGTGCCAAGCGTCACATATGGGATTTGTTCTGCTGAGATCCCAGCTTGTTCAAAAATGTAAGTTGCATAGAAATAAATCTACAACAGGAAAAAAGTAAATACTAATGGGGCTTTCCTGGAAGTTAAATCATCCACTGGAAACAAAGTCAAGTTCATACTAAACTCACAAGTTTAGTTAAATAAAAATTGAGTTAAATAAGAATAAGCAGCATAAACAGCAACAAGAATCTGTTTAATTCACATCTAGGTAAATACATTGCTATGATACAAGCAAATTTAATTATCCAACCTACTGAACATAGCACTTTACATTCTGAAACCAAACACAGCAGGTGAGCTGATCCACCTTCATCTACTTTCTCAGAAGAATGTGCAAGTATTAAGTCACTCTTTAAAGAATTTACATACCAGAAACATAGAAATGAGAAAAAAATTAAGAGAAAAACACAGAAGTACCACTAAAATATTCTTTCCCGCTTATCCCATTTCTCTGGGCTTCTCTATGTGGATCTTTTGTTTTAATAAAAGGTTGAAAACCACATGGAAATGAAATCATTATTAAAGCCGTTTGTAGGTATGAAAACTTACAGCATTTATCCCACTGAGCTGCTGGCCCATATTCATCACAATAACAGTAATAAGCTGCCATCTTACAGCACGGTCAGTGAATAACTGCCAGGGCTTCTTGGCCTTCTCCCCATCCAAGGCAAAGCTTTCCTGCTGTATGTCTTCCATCTCCCTTCCATACTCTGAAGAACCATGAAATCGCTTCAAAGCTGAACAAAGAAGAAAACACTCTCACAGCTTCTGGAAAATACCTCCTTCCACCATGACCCAGCATCTGCTGGGATATGGAAACATTGCTTTTTGACTTGGCTTTTGCTTGCTGGTTTCCAACATTTTTTGCTGTGGTGGACTGCTGTTGCTTCCTATGTTGAAGATCTTGCCACAAGACACACTGGTCTATCTACTAGTACCTTTTCCAGACAGGTAAAAATTCGTATGTTCATCAACAGCACATCAAAAGAACAGAAGAAAAGCAAGAGAAATATTTTTCCTTTATTTATGCATAAAATGAAAACTGAACCGAATACAACCCTATCAATGCTAAGAAGGTAAAACTTCCTTTGTTACAGTCTCTCATTTATTTACCATTTTAAATGGAAGACACAGGGATCACAAGTGTCATTTTATGTCACTATCAATTACAGACTCCTGAGTTCCACAATCCCTATTTTCATATAAGCTCACTGAAGGAAAAACATGGGCCAAAAAGCACTAGGCAATAAAAAATATGCTGTGTTGATACAGACAAAAGGAGAATCTGGAACCCAAGATACTCCCTGTACCCTTCTGAAGACACAAAGAAAGTATAAACACTGAAAATTACCTTTGACACAGCTCAGCTCATCACCCCTGTCGATAAGAAGATATCTGGGGCTTTCAGGAAACCATGGCAGGAATAGAAGTTGGGCAAATGCTGGTAAACAGCTGCTGGATAGCAACAGAGGCCAATACATTTCTTCACCTAATAATTCCCTGGGAGAGACAGGGAAAAAGAAGGGACGGAAGAGGGAAAACCCTACAATTAATTAGCTTATTGCTGTGTTGGACTTAAGCATTATTTTCAGGTTCTCCAAAACTGTTTTCTAGCAGCGCAGGAAAGCAAAAGCATACGGACATCACCTTCAGGTCAGCAGCATCACTTGCTTTGGAGAATTACACAATAATTTAGGACAGAAAGGAACTCAGAAAAGTGTAAATGTAACTGTTTTACTGATGCTGTTCTAAACTGAGAATACCTCCCTGGGGAGACAGCAGAGATGGTGTGCAGCTGTGGGAATAAGGTGACAAAAGGACGGTTTTCTTCTTATAGGTAGACGTTGTAAAGCGTGAAGTTGATTCACTAATGCTGCAATGGCCACAATGAATATTTTGCAGGGAGCTGCAGGGAACTGGAATTCTTTACATGCAAGTAGCACAAGTCAGGAAAACAAAATGCATTTCTAACCTCAAACCAATTATTTGTCCAATCAGAATCCCCCCAGTCAGAAAGATGGAACTCCCCATGGCCATGCCACCTCTGAGATGTTTTGGGGCAACTTCCCCAAGATACAGAGGCTGCACACAGATCCCAACACCTGCAAGTAAATGGAAGAACATTTTTCTATTAATAGATTTTGCTTTGTCACTGAACCAAAACATGTACGAAATCAGACTTAGTTAGTTTCCTGTTACTTTAGCTGCCTTCAGATTCCAAGTTAGACTACATAACATTTTTGTCATTGTATCTACAAAGTAGCACACAAACACGTATCATAACACCTAAAGAAAAAGCAGTAACAATAATTTAGCATTCACCATAGTTTACTGAAAGTAGGAATAGGAGAGAATTCACCTGAATTTATGCCAATCAAAAACCTTCCAACAATCAGCAACTCAAACAATCCTGTAGGAAAACTGATCCCCATTAAAATGGAGGCCAGTATTGCTACAATATTATTCATCAAAAGAGCTCCTTTCCTAAATAGGACAAAAAAAAAATAGGAAAAAAAATTAAAAAATAAGGAAATCTGCAATAACATGCTCTTTAAACATCTCCTTTCTGGTAATACAAAAAAAAAATGGGGTTTATACTGAAGAAAGGAGTGGGGTTTTGCTGATTTATGCTGTATCTATAAAGCATGCACATGAAATGTTACAAATTACACAGTATGCCTTTACTGGCATGAAGGCTTCAAATGCTCACTTGGGACCTGTGTTTCCTGCCATGCAACATGTGCATATACTCCTACTTAGATTCCAATAAATGTCATGGAAAGACTAGACTGGAAGGCTGTAACTCAAATCTCACCTTTTAAAGTCACATTGGAGCAAACTGTAAAATTCTACTAGAAAACCCTGCTTCAAAGTGAAAACCATTTTTAGTCACCTAAGGTACATTTTCTCCCACTTTTTTCCATTTATGTACTTTCTATTCCAGTGAGAAAGTAGAAGGAAACATGCTGAACCTGATGAACTCACCTGCCCAGCCAAATTGCCATGCTGCCTCCAACAAGGGCTCCACACAGGCCCCCAAGTGAAAATGCAGAAGCGATGACAGACCAAAGAAAAGTCAGCAGATCTGGATTTAGTGCCTTGTGATAACGATTAGTCCAGGTTTCATTTAAGAATCTGTGTATATGCTGCAGAAAAGAATGATGAATGTGGAGCATTATGTGTAATCAGAGGCTCCAGTTTTAGCCAGCAAACAAAGACTTAACAGAAGAAAAAACTGCCTGGCCTCCCCCTCCTTTCCAGCATATTACATGTTCTTTCACAAACGGCTTATTTTAACCTTTGTAACAAGCATATGATACTGTAGCAAATTCAATTTTCACAGTTTCAAAAGAAAATAAATGAGCTAACAGCAGATAGCCGTCACTTTCAACATACCATCTGCTCAGATCCTCTGGAGTCACCCACAAAATACGCAGAATCCTCAAGGCCAGCGCAAGGGACACAAATGTAACAAGTAGGTGAAAATACCTACAAGATACTTGGACACTACACATTAAAGTTCTTGACTCTCTAAGATCTTTCTCAGTAAGCTGCCTTTTACTGTAACTATCTTTTCTCCCTGTTATCCACTGACAGGACACATGGGAACGGTTCAAAGCTGCATCAGGGGAAACGGTGGTGACATTTTACAGAAACGTGGTCTGGTCAGACACTGGAACAGGCTTCCTGGAGAAGGGGTCAATGCCCCAAACCTCAGCATTTAAGAGGCATTTGGACAATGCCCTTAGTAACAGGCTTTAACTTCTGGTCAGGCAGCTAGACTGGGTTGTAGGTCTGTTCCAACTGAAAATGTTATACTCTGTTCTTAATGTTCTGGGCTATTTTAGTCAAAAGTGTAACTGGAAGATGCTCCTTATTTGGTCAGTTAATCCTTCTAAAACAGACTTTAACAGAGGTATTTATGTGGCCTATTTGTCACTTTTATCTGACACACAACACCTCTGATGGGAGCTACAAATTCACATGAAACCACTTTGAAAAGCAACAAGAATCCTTCATAGGAGAGGAAGCCTGCTTTGGTGCCATTGTGATCATAGTAGAAGTGCGTGTGGCCTCTCAGCCGGTTAGACAGGACACCTCCGTTACTGCAGAACAACCCTGGGAACAAGAGACCATGTTTTACCTGGGTGGGGGCATTGATGATGGAAACATTATACCCATACTGAAAGGTTCCTCCAATTCCAACAGCACAAACAGCCAGAAACAAGGTCCAGCTGGGGAGCTAGAAAACAGAAGAGAGTAATGGGAATGAAAAGCGATAGAGCCTTGAGCCCACATGCGTGTAACATCTATGAGAAAATCACAGCGAAACATATAATGAATTGAGTTTTGAACAGTGAAAGCATTCATTCAGAAAACTACATAAACTGTCAAACACCTGCAGCAAGAGAAAAAAAATCATGCAGACTTTGGCCATAATCACTGACATCTTTTAGAGATGCAACAATTACAAGTATGCAGGTTCATCATAAGCAATACAACCATTGCACTGCTGATGGCATAGTACAGCTTCCTCGAGAATAAAAAGTGCTTCTCTGAATGACAAGCAAGCAATGAATTAAGAGTAAAGGCTGCAGCAAGCACAATAGAAAAAATAAAAGCAGAGGTGGCGCACCGCATGCTCAGACCCTTTTGTTAACCAAATACTGACAACATAATCTGTATGTCTCATAGGTACAACCTGGAATCTATAACAGACAGAAAACAAACAAAACCACCCCAGAACCATTAACATACATCACACAGCTTATGTTCTGTTATGATAGATCTGCTCCTCCTCCTGCCCAAATCGGTCTGTTCATTACACCAGCATCTTGAGTCACACTGGAGCTTCTATGTATGCTCTGTATTTCCTCCTGACAGCTTACACGGACTTTCACGCCATTTCAGAAACACGCCACACACAAAATTCAATTTACATCCAACGTAAACCGTAAGAATCAGCCAACACGCTTTCACAGCTGCCGCTTTACAACACAGCCAGGAGTCTAAGGAAAAAACACCACTTCATGAGCCTGCTCATCTAAACGTAAAAGTAGAGACGAAACCAGAAAATTTCACATGTGCGCATCCCTGTTAAAGCTAAAAACTCCCTGCAGGAGCCATCCCCAGAGGCCAAAGCAGTACTTACCTTGCTACGTGCACTACACCCTCTCAGCAGGGGCTGGGACTCCATTCTTAGTATGGGCTGAATTCGATTTCCTTTGCAAAATTTAGTAAACTACACTTCAGAGATAAAAGGTACCAAGGCATTAAGTTGTTACTCCATTAAAACACGTTTCTGCCTTCCACCTCTAGCCTTTGGTGCTCTCAGTGTCTCCCGACCCATCAGGACGGCAGCGTTCCGCCACCGCAAACGCTCTCACAGGCGCGGTCCCCCTCGTCGGAGCACAAACCCGCCCGCGGCCCCCCGCGCCATGCAGCCACCGAGAGCGGCAACGCTCACCTGGCGGGGAGCCATGGGCCTCCGGCTCCGCTCCTCTGCGTCCCGCCGCGGCAGTTCTCGGAGCTGAGCCCTCACGTCCCCGGGAGCAGCCCGCCCCAGCCCGCGGCTCTGCCCGCCACCCGCCGAGGTGAGGGGAGGGGAGGGGAGGCCGGGCCGCAGACAACAGCGCCTCCGCCGGCCCGCGCGCTCCCATGGCTGCCGGGGCTTTGCCGCTCTCGGGGGCGTCCCGCCGCGCGGCTGCTGCTGCCCTAAGGCCGCCTTGGGGGCGCCGGGACTACAGCTCCCATAGTGCCCCGCGCGCCGCCGCCGGGACTACAGCTCCCATAGTGCCCCGCGCGCCGCCGCCGGGACTACAGCTCCCATAGTGCCCCGCGCGCCGCCGCCGGGACTACAGCTCCCATAGTGCCCCGCGCCCGTCTTCGGCAGGCGCTGCGGAAGGCCTGGAAAGGACTCGCGCTCTGGCGGTGTCGTCCACCCCCGGGCCCAGCCCGGCCCGGCCCGCTCCGGCCTAGCGGTGAGCGCTCCGTGGGCAGTTGTTCTGTGCTGGCGCGCCGGGCCGGGCCCGGCCCAGTGGAGCCCAGGGCGCACCGAGGTGCCGCCGTCCCGGCTCACCTTCGCGGCCGCGGGGCTTTGTTAGCGCGGGTCTCTGCGAGAGCGCCCCGGGCGGGGCCGGGCCGGCGCCAGCAGCGGGAGGGCGGCTTCGGGCCGGGGCGCGGCGAAGCCCGGGCCGGTCCCCCCGCAGGGTCGCCCCGCTGGTGCGGATGGGCGGCGTTGATGTCCTCTCTTTCCCCAAGCAGGAAATGGCAGCGCTGGGCAGGTCCTGCCAGGGCGTCCCCGCAGGCCCTGCCGTGGAGTTTCCGCAGGCGCCTGCCGCGGCCCCCGACCGCCACGGCCCGCAGCCCGCCGTCGGCGGCCACGACCGCCTACAGCCCCCCGCGATGATGATGATGATGGCCGGGAACGGAAGCGACGGTACCGATGGCGGGCATTCCTCCGGCCTGTACCTCACAAGCGGCTTCGACGTGGCCTCGCTCGCCGCGCTGGGCAGTTACAACGAGGGCTCGCCGGTGGTCCCGGTGGGCTCCTTCACGAGCGCCGCGCACCCGCAGCAGGGCCTCGGCCAGTAAGTGCGGAGCCAGCGGCCGCGGCGAGGGGATGAACGTGTTTCTCGGCTGCGGGGCAGCGTGAAACGGGTTTTCTTCTCGAGACAAGCTATAATGTGTTTTCTTGTCGTAGCGTTTCACTTGTACGATGTTAGAATTGTGTTGCACGCGTCTTAACAGCCTTCAGGTTTGTAAGTGAGGGAAGTGAGGAGCTTCCTAAGTGGAAAGAAATGCAGTGAGGTTTACTGACATCTTGGCATGATCTTAAGTTCATGCACATTTTACTTTAACGTGCTCTTTCTCATATGCAAGCACAAAAAGCTGTTCCATAAACTGTTATTTGGTCATCATTAATTTGAGTATGTTACTGGGAGACCAGGTATTAAGAGACTGAAGCTGGATCACTTGTTGCTTGTTGAAGCATTTTTTCAGAAATTGGACTGTCCCCTTGTGGAAAAAAAGCAAATAACGTAAAGGAGGAGAAATTAGCCTGGAATTCTGCTTGGAAAATGAAGTAATTACAGCTGCCTTTGACTTTTTGGGGAACAAAGTGTCATTTATTGTCACTTCACAGGTGGTAGCAGACTGTGACTGTTGGTCTTAGCGGCAAGTGAAATTTTTAAAGGGAGGAAAATATTGTTTGAAATCTCAGTGTCACTGGAAGATAGAATCTAAATAACCATTTGTTTTTCTTTTGCAGTGGCTCTGTTCGCTGTGGAAAGAAGCATAAGCTAGAAGAAGAGACTGAAGGGTAAATTAAATTTGTCTTTTGTAGCCAGAAAATACTTAATTTGCTTTTTATTTTCGATAAAGATTTGAGCACATCTCACCCACAATGTGTACAGGAAGGGAACTTCTATCATTGTTTCAGTTTGGAATTCTTACCCCAAGTTGCACACGAGCCTGAATCCCTTTCAGTCACCTAATGAATTGTGTAGTGCTGGTTTTCTTGCATGGGTATCCACATTTTCTTAGGAGCAGCATGGATTCATGTTCTTTGTGGAGTTTGTTTCCATAGTGTGTCAGATCTGTTGATATGCACATGGCTTTCTATTAACATTTTTTCCTGTAGAATGGCACATTTCTCTTTTGACAGATGTAAAATTACTTTGTTTCCTAGTTGTCCTGTGCGGAAGAAGAGACTGACAGGAGCCAAAAATTGCCCTTTGAATCCCAGCACTGAAGAATGGATTCTCTGTGCAGGTCAGCAGGCAGCTGGGGAGGTAGCAAGTCAGTATGATGGCAGCGGTCCTGAAACTGCCATGTTAGAAATTCCCTGTGAAGAAATGGATCAGACAATGGGGGAACAGCAATGCGAGGTTGCTCGCAGGAAGCTTCAGGAAATTGAGGACAGGTAAATGCAGGGATTGAGTAGACTGGCTTTGCTGAGCTTTCCATTTTTTGTGGGCATTACGGGGTAAATCTAGCACTTAGCAGTGTAGTAACACTGTAATAACCTTCTGTTCAAGCACTTGCTTTTTAGGCTGCCTGTGGTCCTAATGGGTCGTAGGGCTGGTACTATGATCTGAAATTGAGGGTGCTAAAGCAAGAGATGCTGAATAAGTAACCACCTTTTCACAATCATGCAGCATCAGTGTACCGTAATGGGGCTTTATGCTCTTTTGTGAGTTTCTAGAGCTCAAATTTGAGCTAGTGTTATCTGGTCAGACTTGAGTTAATCTTTTTTCAGTCAGTTGCAGCTTGTTCTATGATTAATACTTCTAAATGCTCAAGACAGAGATGAATTTGTCAGCATAGAAAGTAACATGAACCAAAGATCTCTCTCTGGACATAGGCAATGAGACTGAGGTTCACCATGCTGTTAAATAGCAGATAGCTTGATACTGGGGTAATGGGGTGGCTGTGGGCAGTCTGTTGCAGTCATTTAATAAATGTACTATGCATTTTTGTCTTTGAAAGATTTCTGGGAATGTTATGTGCATTTATCAGTTGGTGACAGTTGAGGTAGTATTCCGAAATACCTAAAATGACCACTGAAGACAGTTGTTAGGAAAGCCAAACGTTTGAAAGTTATAAACCAGGCTCTTTTTTTAGATGATTACTCCGTAGTTGATGCATGAAGGGAAACAAGGTACTGTTAGATCATTTCATTTTTTCACAGGTAAATCAGAGTAGTGATGTATGTCTTCATTATCTGGGTATAGCTGCAGTAATGCAGTCTGCTTTGACCTCTCAGAGGATTGTTCCCCATCCTTCCCAGCTACTCTGCTGAATTTTCTTTAAAAGGTTTACCAAAACCAAAGGAGATAACCTCCAGTTTGTTCTAAATACTTCTTGTGCCATTTTAATCTCTGAGGAATTGGTGTAAAATTGTTAAAGGTTAAGAACTGCATTCAGCACCTTTTCAGTTAAGATATGGGGAATTGAGCAGGTGAAGCTGCTGCAAAACTGAACTAGCTAGCTCCTGTAATGCGACCAAATGACCCAGTTTCCCCTGAAGTGAATTTATGTATTTTCTCTTAGTGTTTGTTTGCATTGCACACTGCTGGATGATGCAGGGATAACAAAGCTAGCTCAGGTACCAGAAGTGGCACAGCTGCTCAAGTGGCTTCTATGCGTACAATTGTTCTTAGGGTATATTGGCCCAAGAGAAACTCATGTTAACATGGCCCCGCTGCTTCTGGTACCCAGCCTAGGTTGGATGTCTACACGGTACAGTGCAGTGCGCGGACATGAAACTGTAGTCTGCGGTGGATGTGCCTGTTAACAGAATGCTCAATAGTATTTATCTCCCTCTTCCCCCTCCATTCCTAGGATAATTGATGAAGATGAGGAAGTTCATGCTGATGGAAATGTTAGCAATCTGCCCACTCTTATCCTGTCAGATACCCTTAAAAAAGGGATGAAGAGGGATTTTGATGAAGTCCTGACAAAGAAAATAATAGAATCTATGTAAGTTCTGGAGGAAATCATGGTGCTATGTAGCTAACACATGCAAATGAAAAGAGAGACCCAGTCTCATGTTTGTGGAGATGACCTTAATTAGTGCATGATGCAGCCAACACTGTGTAACAAACCATTCAAAATAGGAAAAACTGTCCTGATGTACAAGAGAAGTAAACGTAACTCTGTAGTGGTCATCAAGCTGTCTGTTTTGTACTCCTCACTTCTACAGAGTGAAATTTGTGGAATAAACCATTGTATCTTGATTTTCATGTATGTGAGTTTCCAAAAGAAGGTGGTCCTGAAGTGTGACCGACAGTGGTCTTTAGTTTGGTGGAAAATAAAATATAGGCTTAGAACAAGTAACGAAACTGGTTAAGGAAGAGGAAATTTAGTAGGGGGAAAATAAAAGGTCTCTGGATTCTGGAATATAGTTCCAGGCTAGCACAAAGGATGAAGATACTCACTGGTCTTCTGCATTTAATAGTTGCGATTGGAGAACTTGTATTTAACCAAGACTCCATCCCTTCTAGGAGCCGTCCTTCTATGGAGCTGGTGCTTTGGAAACCTCTTCCTGAATTTCTCTCAGATAAACTGAAGTCTGTTTCTGTTAAGAACTTCAAGCAGCAGCGTGTAGAAGGGTGTCAAGCTAAGCAGTCAACACCAAGAGCTGCTTTTGACCCACAGACTGAAACATTCCCTGAATCACAACAGACTGCCATGTCTCCAGATCCATATGCTACTTTGGGAATCTCTGGGTGTGCAGAAGAAGAAATGGAGTTGTAGATACCAGACTGAAGAGTGAGAATGGTGAGCTTCAGATGGGTTTTGTTCCTTTTTTATTTAATTCCCTCTTTCTTTCTGGTTTGATGTGTGAATCTGAATTTTTTTTTTCTTACTAACAATCATAAATGGATTGGCCAATCACAAAGTAACTGAAAAAACTCCCCAAGATTTCTGTACTCTGGCATGTTAAATATTCTTGTTTTTACTGAGGGGGTAATCCAGAGGCCTTTGTAACAAGGAAGTAGCTTTCCATCTTGCTTAATGGTGGAATATCCCCTTAATTGTTCTTGGTAAAAGTATAAAATCCAAATATTGAATGTAACTGTGGCTTAAGCCACATCTTTCACATACTGAGCCATTAAGACTTTGGTGCACATACCATGCTTGGTCAGTTAGTTTAATTTGAACTACAAAAAGATATGGAAAGGAAGAAATACTTTTGATTTTAGACACAGACAGAAGAGCAATCCCTGTGGTAATACAGCTTTTCACACTATTTCATCTCTGGCTGGTTTGTACTTGATGCAAACTCATGTAGAAATTGCACATTCTGCAGTGTGATAGGGAAGGAATGTTATAGCTGAGCATAAACCTCTCGCTTTGTGGAAAGTAAACCAGCTACTAGCTTGCAAGGTATCTACTAACTTGAGTCATCATCTTTGGCTCATTAGCTCCTAAACTGTGCTTGTGGGTTTTTGCTGCAACCCTCCCCAAACAATGTAAAGTCTGGAAAAAAGCGGTTCTCAGCCAACTGATTCACTTACACTGTGCTGTGATTCTTTGTATGCATCGAATAGGAAAGTCAGCTAAAGGCAGTGTAACTTTTGATGAAATAAATGGTATCCTTTAATTTTTATAAACACGGTAAGCAAATCAGGTAACAGAGCCACTTTCTGGCATAAACAGGGTCAAATGCTGGTTATCATCTGTAACAAAGTCCCAGACTTGAGGACCTGAGACTGCTGGCACTGGTAGTGAAGATGCTTGTCTTCTGTGGGAATCTGTACTTAAATTTTAAGCCAGAGCATGTGCCATTAGCATAACGTCACATAGTTTATACATATGTATGCCAAAAGAATTTTGTACCCAGCTGAGGGTGTTAAGAAAAGGGATCCTCAATGAGTCATTGCTTGTACCTTTCCTCAATGCACAACAGTTCCATTATGCTTAAAATGCTTAAAACAAGGCAGAGAATCTTATGTTCTGAAGTCTTTGAGCTTTCTCAGAGATACATGAATTGAGGCTTTTTAGAAGAAGTTCCTTTCAGGGTAATAATTTCTGTTCAGTTTTAGCATCCCATTCTGTTGTTGACATCTTACTAACATAAAAGAGCAAGTACACAGCTGACGCCAGAAGCTTTGTTCAGAAGATACCCCTATTTGTTAAACCCTTGTCTATCTTGCTGCTCTCGTTAAAGGTTTTGTGACATTTGCTGTCTCTTACTAAAACATTTCAGAGCATCACCCAAAACATTTCAACACTTGAATAGGTATTACCCTGCTAAGCAACTTATAATTTGACTATTCTGAAACTATTATTAAATTGGGAAACATGTGCACCTTTATTTTGCTATTATGTCCAATTTCATTTCAAGGTCTTTTATAAATCTCTTGCACGTACTCTGTAAAACTTCTCATGTATTATTAAGCTGCTAAGTGTGCTTAAAATCTACAGCCTTTGACATGCTACACTGTTCGAGTATAAAGTCAAACAACGTAGTTTGGAGAAGGTTGTTGTCACTGTGGGCAGAAAACGTAGTACCTCCAAATACTTACATGTTTCTAAGCTTGCAGGATTATAGTGAAAGTTCAAGGTTGGAATTGTTTTAGCTGATAGCTCTGAATCCTAAATAAACTGAAAAGATAAGTAATTCAAAACCATTTCAGCAACACTAAAAATTGCAAGAGAGTGTAGAAAACTGGGAGGCCAAAATAAGTAAAATCTAGATGCAGGGTTTCCTCTCAAAAATGAAAATTGCATATCAAATTTGCAGAGTAAATTCTTGTAGATGGTTTTTAAGCTTACTTTCTTCCTGTTACGTTTGTACCAAAGGTTGGCTTTCACAGATGCATTTCCTCTTAATTTTTTTTTATGCTAATACAGCACCACTGATTCCTGTTATTCAGCCATCTGACACACTAATACAGTGGTGAGCTACTGACAGAGACCAAGATGTGGGGGAAAAAACCCTGTGTCCAAGCAGTGCGCTTTGATATAAAACATCATTTTCATAATTAATTTCTGCCCTTGCAATAGGAGAGAACAGTAAGATAAAGAAGGAATTAGGGGGGGAAGACAGAGATTCTTCTTGTAGCCACCTTCTGGAGAGGGCAAGAGAGAAGCAGCTGTGGGGTGGTTTCAGACTTCTGTGTTCATACCCGTTTCATTTGTTGTTAGCTTCCTTAAAAGATTTTATTCATGCTGTTTACAAGCGGGATGGCAAATTAATGCAGTATTAGGAAAAACTTTATTTTGAAATACGATCTGATTGTGGTCTGTCTTCTCAGGGGACCAAATCACCGTTTGTATGTCAGTTTGCAATAAATTTTCTAAAATATTTTTTAGATGGCTGTGTTTCATTCCTAACAAAAGTGAACACCTTGAGAGCGTATGTGCAGTCCTTCAGCTGGAGGGTAAAATACTCTTCAGCCCAAGAAGATTTGTAATTTAACTACATAGTTCCAAGAGCATGTCACAGTGTTCAGCAGGAGCATAGCAGCAGGGTGGGAGAAAGCTGAAGCTGCCAGAAAGGAAGCACTGTTCTAAATCTGTTATGCCACTAATGTCTGACTATTAAAACAAATTCACATTTTATTTTATATGTAACACTTCATTCATCCACTGAACATCTGCCTCAAGCAACAATTTAGACTCTCCAAAGTTTAACTTTTCTAATGTCAGTTCTGCTATACTACAGTGCTGTCATTTTTACTGCTGTTCAGTGCTCAGAGAGAATGCTTTATTACAAGCTAGGTTTTTCATTTGTATAAAAAGCAATCTTATCACCTTGGTTAGTAACCAGTACCCTCTTGTCCCATCCCCCATTTTCTTTCCTCCCTCACCTCAAGCTATTTTCTGGCAAAGTCTAATGCACAGCATGACAACTGAAGCCAGGAGCAGCTGAGCAAACCCTTGCAACAGCTCTCACTTTCAGAATAAAACTTCAGTTCTTCCTTCGTGGTTCCAGTTTCACCTCCAGTTCAAGTTGGTTTAATGCTGTAATGTTGGAACAAATGGATGGGGACAACAAAAAAGTCCTCTTGTGTTATTTGAAATTAGCTCCTGCAAAGTTAATTTTACACTTCAGGAATTCGTGTGGAACACAATCTTCACCTTTTTTCATCCCATGTACATCACACAGCTTCAGCAATACTGGGCCCCACTTGAAGTGCACCCACCTTGACCAAAACTGAGCATTTTGAATGGCTTTACTGGTGAACAGGAAGATATTACAATAATTGCATTCAGATAATCAGGCTACTGCCCAACTGCATTCCCTATTCAGGCTGCAGATTCTGCTCTAGCAGCTCCAGCCATCATACAAACCCATCTGTCTCAAACAGTTTGCAACATCAAATGCTCTCAGAAGCTGCCAGCAGCACTTCTGTACACTACAAAGTGCTGCTGGATTGGTGCATTAAGGTGATTTAATGACAAGGCACCAAGACCTAATCTGCTAAAGTTTCAGATTCTGCAAGGCCCACATACTTTCTCCTCCCCACTGAGATCCAAGGCAAAAAAGGAACAGTGAGCTGCACTGCACTTTAATTGCACCAACAGTTAAATATTAAATGGAGAAAGCAACTCTACATAGCAAATGTAAAACAAGTATTTACATAGTAAATCTGTAAGATAGACTAGTTTCAACACAGCTGTCTATACTTTGAATATCTCATTGCAGTTTTGGGGGTTAAAATTACTTTAAATTGAAAACAAGCTTTTTCAGGTTCATATAGAACTGGCAAGTTTTGAGAAACCACCTTTCCTCCCTCATAAGCCACTAGTGATGGGGGGGGGGTAGGACAGGGCACCCTGGGTTTTTTGATACCCGAAATGCATTGGCCATCACTTCATTTACTAGCACAGGTAGAAGTTGGCAACACTTCCCTGAATGCACTGGATTTCCACCCCCACCCCAAAGGGGCTTATTCTGTTATCCTGTTTATCCAAGGGGAGTTAACACTACTGGGTTAGACACTGATCAGTTGGGGAAAGAGTTCATTAGCAAAGCTATCCTCCCAAGCACGGTCAGTGTCAAGTGGAGAGGACATGTCACTGAAGGGCGACAGGGATCCTTCATATCCAGAGTCACTACAGGCATCCAACAGAGAGCTTGACGCTGCAAGACTATGATGAGGGGAAAGCAGGTGAGAGGTACCCAGTTCAGGCATGAAGCTGTCTACTGGTTCCTCCTTCACAGATACTGGCACCCTGGGGATAACTTTGTCTTCAGATGGAGAGAGAGATACTTCCTCAATTTTCACTAGCATATTGGTTTGGTTGCCCATTTTAACAGGAATCTCCAGTATCAGGGGCTTGGTGTACACATGATCAAACCTTATGAGTTCATTAATGGCCTCCAGCTTAGCTGATGGGGACCCCAAAGAGGGAGAGGGGGGGGCTGGTATGGAACTTGTTTCTCCACAGATCTCTTCCTCCAGCTTTTCCAGGCACGTTGACTCTGAATCAGCGTATTTAAGAAACATCTCTGGGTCCAGACTGTCCAGAAAGCCCAATAGGAGATCAGACTGCAGAATGAAATATTGTTTTAGAAAGAGAGCCCACTACTGTTACAGCAGAACATCAGTTGCTACATCTATTAACCTTCATCTGGAAGTTAAAACATGCTAACACAATAACAGAACACTGCTATAAGAACAGCGAAGGCAATTACTTCTGTTTCATAAGTTCTTGGTCTGTTAGCTTTTTTTGTAAGGGCACTGACAATCCCCATAGAATTCTACATGTATTTTATATTCACAGCCTATTAGAAACTCATCAAGATCTTGCTCCTCAACAGCAGGTACCAGAGCCTGGTGTGATCAGACCTGCCCATGATTAAAGCTGCAGGTCTAGGAGGGGCGGGAGAGGTGTTTGTGCCTTGCTCCTGCCCTTACATATCTGGAAGTCATTGATAAGGGTCAGGTTTTAAGTTCAAGCAGCTTTGCCAACACATCAGCAAAATGATAAAGTTTGTTTTCAACAAGAGTAAAACCGCAGTATGCTTTTCGCATTTGTACACTTTTGCTGTAAGAGCTAAAAGACCGTTTCAGGCAACAGCCTATCACATTTAATGGAAACTGGACTCGTTAAAAGTTGTATGAACTCCTGCACTCACTGGATACAGCCTAACATAGCTGTTCTATGGCATTCCAAGATTTAGAAAACAATGAAAAGTCATCAACTGACTTCAGACAAAGAAGTTACAATACTAGTTTTAAATCCACAGTGGTTCTGAATTTCATGGGTGTTCTAGGTAGGAGCAGATGCTCACCTCCGAGTCTGAAGAGTCACTGCCACCAGAATCCATGTGGAAATTATCAGAAATGGTGACTGCTGGGCCTGCACCTGCTGCAGAGGAACACGTAGTCTGAGTGCTGCGGACTCAGCGGACCCGGTCACCAATCTAATCTCATCCACCTGTGATTCCTTCACAACCTGTGACAGGAAAAAAGCCCAGTCAGTCACTGTAAATGCTCTGGCTGGCAGTACACACATACTCCTGCAGCTCACGCAAAGGCTTCTACCATTAGACTACCCATTTATTTTTGGGCAGTAGGAACCTGAAGGTAAGACCAGTTTCAAAGTTGGCTCAGACTTTCATATATCTGCCAGACCCTCTCCACTATACACCATTCTTCTGAGACTGACCCGCATGAACGGAGCGGCGACTACTTCTAGACCAGAACAAACGATGAAACTTGGAACTATTCAACCGCTGCCTCCCACACCACCGCCGCAGGGCTGCGTATCTGCTCGGCGTGGGAAAGCCTTCCCTTGGAGGCCAGCAGGGTTTGTGGGACACGAAGCGTCCCCTGCACAGCACGGCAGCAACAGCCCGAGGGCTCTCGGCACCGGGACCACCGCTCACCGCCACGCATGCGCAATTCGAGGAGCGGCTCTCCGCGGCCCTGCCCGAGGCGGGGGAGGAAGAGACCCGCCAGGGGCGCGGCGGGGACTCACCTCGGACTCTCCCTCCTCCTCTGCCTTTAGAGCATCCAAACCCAGGCGGCAGCGCAGCTCCCGGTTCTCCAGCGCCAGGCTACACGTCTTCTCGCGCAGGAGTCGGTTTTCCAGCAACAGCTTCTGGTTCTGCGCAGAGCCGGGAAGCAGTGAGGCGGCGGCGCGAATCGCAGCCCCCACCCCCGCCCCCCAGGCCGCTTACCTCCTGCTCCAGCTCCCCGACCTGCTGCTCCAGCTCCGCCATCCGCGCCTTCTTCCTGTCCCGAGCGCTCTGCGCCGCCACGCGATTCTTCAGCTTCCTGCGGGGCAGGGCGGCCGTCAGCGCGGCGGCACCCCCGCGGCGAGCCCCCGCCACCGGCCCCACTCACCTGCGCAATGCCTTCTCCTCCGGGCTCAAGTGGGTCAGCCGCTGACGCTTGCGGGCCGGCGGCGGGGCCTCCAGACCCGCAGCGGTGGCTCCTGCTGGCAGGACAACAGAAAGATGCCGGCCGGCCGCGGGGGACTCGGCCGGCTTGCCAGGAATGAGGAGCAGCCGGGGGGCTGCCGCGCCGGACAGAGCAGCCATGGCTGGGGATGAGGAGCGAGAAACTGCGGCCGTCAGCGCTCTGCGGCCCCGCAGCCCCGCCCGGCTCTCTACGATCGTGGCTCTCTCTCATTGGTAGGCACGGCGTGACGGGGCTCCCTGCCTGGCTCGTGACGGGCCCGCCGCTGAGGGCAAGCGGGGAAGCGGATTGCATCAGGCGCTGGGGCCGGTCGATAAAGACGTGGCAAGGCCCGGGGGGGGCACGGGGGCTTCCGGGAGTTTGTTTGGCGCGGCTGTGCCCATCCGGGCCTCTCGGTACCGCTGCTGTCGATGCGGTGGCACTGGGGGGGCTGAGGGGGGAGGGGGCTCGGTGCAGTGAGGAGAGTCTCGAGGAGGGACCCGGCAGGTCAGTCACGAGCTGAAACCGGGGCTCTGTGGGAACACGAGTGCCGGGAACAGCTGTAACAGACGCCATGGGGACAGGCGAAAAATAAGATGAAAGAGCAAAAAAGCCGAGAGGAGGTTGGCGGTTGTTGAGCAGAAGCCTCAGGAGAGCGCGCTCGAGTCCCTGAGGATTGCCCGTGCACCACCGCAGAGGCGGCCGTGCTGTGGTGAGCGGCGGGAGCGACCGCTGGTGCCTGAGGAGGGGCCAGAGCCAGGAGGCCTGGGCCCAGGCCGGTGAGGGGGCGGAGGTGGAAAGCCTGGAAGCTCTGCACACGGGAGTGCCGCGGCTGGGCAGCGTGCAGGCTGCGGGGCACAGCCGTACACAAGCACACGCAGCCGCCTGGGGCACTGGGCTGTCCGAAATGCCGACCGCAGCTTGGTGCCCGAAGCTTTCCATGCTTTGCTCATGGCGGTTGTCCATGAGGCAGGGTAGCTGCGAAATGTTGGAACTTCGGCCGTTTACGTTTATTTCAGGAACTCATCTGTACGCTGCATTTAAATTCGTTCAGATCATAGCTGTAGTCAAGTCCTGTAACTACCGGAAAAACATGAACCTTAAAAGTTCAAAGGCACTGGTGAGCTGGTTTGGCATTGCTCCAGCACTGGATTTCTGCCAGGCCTTCACGATACAGAGAACAAGTTGCTTTTGTGAGTTGGTGTTTGTTCTTCCCTTACTCGCTGCAGCATGACATTTAGTTCAGACTGAGAGTTCACCTTTCTACTTTGACACTTTTGTGAATAATACAGCTAGTGTTCAATAAGCCTTTTAGGCTGAGTGCAAAAAGGTTGTTCTTGAATTGGTAAGCCCCTCAGATTCCCATCACTGAAAACTTACCTGCTGCTCCTTTGTACATCTCTTCTGGCTTTGGACTCATGTTTTTTTCTGCAGTTCTAATTCCCAATTAAAAACACCACTGTTTTTTTAACAAAATGCAGGTCTAGTATTAATGTCTTTCTCTGGTTTCAGACATGCATTTCAAGTATGCTGCCCTTCTTTACAGCAAACATGCCCCTGCTTGTGTTGTTTTCTGATATTTATAGCTGTACTGGTGAGACTAGCCATGATGTGATATATCATATAGATACCCAGACTTCCTAGCATTATAGCTGAAGACAAATCCAAACTTCCTGTCTATATGTGATTTAATTTTCCTATTTAATTTCATATGGAACCAGAGGAAAGGCATCTTTTTCTTTTTGCAACATTTGTGATCATGAATAAGCTTCAGAAGTGCAGAGATATATATGCTAGTTACTGAGAATACATTTAGGCTCACAAATACTGTGTTACTACCATTAGAACACATAAAGTCTTTTATTAAATATATGGGTAAAATCACAGGGTGAAAGAGTAACAAAGAAAAGTTTGATAAAGCTGGTCTTGTACTGAGACACCCTTTCAGAAAACTTTGGTTAAAAACCTTAAAGTTTAATCCTGATTTTTCACCTTTCCCTTCCCTCCCAGCCCCAAACCCAGTGTTTACATATTCCAGGTTTTGTCACTGAATCCAAGCCTGTAATCCACATGACAATACTCTAGGTCTTCAAGAATAGGGAAAGAACTTGAAAGAAGAGGGTGTAGAGAAAAGATAGGTTAACTAAAAAGCTTAGTCTGAGAAAGAGCTTGTTTGCCCAATGTGCATCTGAAAACACTTGGAAAGTAGTCCAGGGCCTCAGGCTCATGTCCACAGCTGGAGTATTCCCAGACCTGTATCAGTAGTTGATTAAATGAGAAAGGGAACTGTTCTACAGCCTAAAATGAGGTCATTCAAAGTCTGCAGTGTTTGCAATTAACTTTGTATTCATTTCACTTTTTCTTAAATTTCATTAGTGGGATTCAGGAGTTCACTTCTCAAAAGTCTGGTCCTCTTAGTCTTAAGGTGGGCAGTAACCATTGCCTGCCTGTGAGACTCTACTAGCCTAGTTGCTGAGCTCATTGTCAGCTGGAGCAGGGGAAGAGTTCCACTTCAGCCATGTTATTCAGTTGTCTGGGGTACTGGCAACCCTTTCTTTTAGTCTTAACAGTTGAGGCTTTTTAGGAGCACACATGGGGTTCATACTGTTCCTTGTGCTCTGAGTGGAAGGGCTGTTGTAGAGGGTGCGGATTATTTACAGGTAATGGGATAATAAAGGGTATAGCACGTTTCATCAGTCTGGCAAGCCTAGTTGGAACAATAACATACCTTTTCTTCAGCAAAGAGGTGATACTCCTTTAGTATGGGAATTATGCAGAATCTGTATCTTTTGCCTACCGCATGGAACTGCAGCCTATCCATGTGCTCTGGGAACTGACACTGGCTTTGCCTTCCCTTAGCACTGCCACGAGCAAGTAATGCAGAAAAGTGATTTTTTTTTTTTTTTTCTCAACTATCATTCCTTTTCTATTTATATTTATTATTGAGACTCTGCCTCACGGGCCTCTACAGTTGTTTCCAGAGTACGACCAGAAAGCTGTGTAAAAGACCCAGTAAGTCCAACTTTAAACACTGACTCTTCTGCAAGTGTCTTGCAAATGTGTACCTTGTGTTCCAGTTCCTTGTCCTCATGTTCCACCAGCATATATTACTGGTACCTGTTACTACCCCAAATTATACGAATAGTGAGTAGGTCTGCCTCAGTTCCAACATGGATCTATGTAGTGGGCCGCAGGCAATGGCTAGAGATTCTTACTTTGATAATCTTTATGGCTAAGTCCTGTGACCTAACTGATTTTGTAGTGAGGGAGAGCTTCCATCACACTTGTACCTTGAGTGCGTTCTGTTACAGCTCTTTTTCAAATACCTTCAGAACTTCATGCTGGAGATCCTCCTGTATTTTCCCCATGGCGGTGTCCTAGTCACTACAGGCAGCAGCAGTTGGCTCAGGCAGCATGTCTTGTGACAGAAGTCATATGCCCTCATAGTAGGCTTCTCTGTCTCCCCATCCCAACAGAATCATTTCTCCTGTCACCACAGTTACTGAAGCCTTGCTTCTGATTCACAGGAGAAGTCTGAGTTAACTCAGACAATGCTGTCAGTGTTTCTAGAACAAAGATACTCTGGAAGTTGGGCATTTTACAATGTCTTTTTTTCAGGAAGAGAGGGCCTCCCTTCCCTGTCACTGTAGTCCCCAGCAGCCACAGACACTGAAGCTCACCTTGGAGCTCCTCATGGCAGTTTAGTAGCATTGCCTACATTCACAGAGGTTATGCCCCATTCCAGGTTTAGTGGTAGCTTAGTAGCAATAGATTGGATTCAGTACTTCATAGCAAAGGCAGGTGGGAAGCACACTTCCAGAGCAGTGGTAGATGCATGTACAGCAACTGATTAGCTTCTTTTTTGAAAAATACAAACCGATGTTGTTGCTCTTTCCTGTAGTAACCTTTCTGCACCACAGCTTGCTTTTGGTAGCAAAAGGATCTCAGGCTTCATGGCTTCCGACATTTTGAGTGTGGAATTCCTTTTTTTAACTTACAGAATACAATGTGGCAGATTTTTCTTAACAAGGTCTAAAGATACCTTGTCTCAATTTGGATTTATAACAGTAAATTTAAGCTCAGGCAACCTACGTAGAGAGCTCAGAATGTTCCTTGCATCTACATAGTATCTTATTTTCCCTGAAGTTCCCTTGCACTGTAATTCCTGTCTGCTTCATTGTGTTAGACTCCTCTGAAACTCAAAGAGTTCTCTGGTCTCGGGCAGGACCAGCCATTAACTCATGTCATTCTGCAGGACTTGCAATTATTTGCCAGTTGAGTACTTTTCCCAGAACGCTGACTTGCTCATTGAACAGCAGCGTGTCTGCTAAGCACCACTCACATCTGCAAGTTGATCTCCCGCTGTCATGAAATGCTGGTTATAAAGGGAAAGCCTACTTGTTTACAAGGACATTCCAGTACTTTGGGATAAAGAGCTCTTGATTTGATTTGGTCTGTCAGACTGAGAACCAAATTTCTCTTGCACATTCAGAGACTGGAGCACACCATTCATGGGAATTTAAAAGAAGACAAGATATCCGCACCACAGTGAAGGGAAAGGCTTGCTCCCCGTCCTGTGCTACTACTGTGAAAATGAAGCATTACCAGAAAGCCTTGCAAACACTGGTCATGTAAACACATTTTTATACATAGAAGCTGGGTGCCCTTGGGAGGATTTATGTCACCCTGGGATCCAAACAGCATTGGAACAGCTGGCCAGGGAACCAGGCTCAAGTCAGAGGGTCTGTTTGGTGGGCATGCCAACCTGGTGATATGTGAAGGAATCCTGCAGGTCAAGGGAAGGTTGTGGTCGTTTAGTGTTTTACTTTGGGGCTTGGGTTTGTTCTGGCTTCTGTTTGTAACCAACTTGCTTAATACTGAGCCTATCCCCCTCCACACCATTCCTCTATCCATCACTCTACTACACTGCATGGATTCCCTTTCCCTTTCAGTGGTCTATCTGTTGGTATCTCTGGTGATTAGATGCTGTTTGATTGTAGTATCTGTTTCCATGCTGTAGTACTACTTTAGCTCCTGAGCCATTTTCTGTCTAGCTTGGTCCCAAGAACAGTGTTCCCCTGCAAAGGTCAAAGTTCTCTTCATAGTGCTGATGTGCAAATGTGGACCAGAGAGTTGTACAGATTGTGTGGGGTCTGGAGGTTCTGGAAGATGCCACGTTTAAATGTGATTTGCAAATGTGATTAAAGTCTTGGCTAAACTACAGGGTAGAATTGTGCACTGTGAATTCTGTCTTTAGATGTGATGTTACTTGAGAGGTACTGTGTCCACTGTTGTATACTGATGCATGGTGGTACATTGGTGGTGGTAATCACAAGTGAAAGATAAAGGTAAATGTCTGACCCTTAGCTGAGATGGTGCAGTGGGTACATCACTGGGGGATGTTTGCTGCAGACTGTGCTTGCTGGTGGTGCAGTCCTGTGAACTGACCACCTCTGCTGGGCTTTGGGTAAGTACGTGACATGTTGAGCAAGCCCTCTGAGGAAAACAGCGACTGCTGAAATTGCACACGCCTGAAAGCTCCTGTTCCAGTACATTTTTCTGTTTGCACATCCTGCTTCAGAACTGGAACCTCTTCTTGGAAAGTGATCCAACAGGTAAACAACTGCGCTTAGGAAAGCTTGATGACAACTTCCTATTGGCAGAAGCTAGCTCTTCTTTGGAGCAGTGCCAGCTTTTGAAAGGAAATGCCTTCTCTTATTTCTTAGTCATTCCCTAGGGTTTGAAATCTCTTTAGAAGTTAGGAGCCCTGAGAGTCCTGGCAACTGTCTCAGTTTGTGATTTTAAAATGATTTTCTTATTTTCTTCCATATGAGTTACTTCACCTAGTGCTGCCTCTTGCCTGCAGGAGCCTACCTCCAGCTGTTGCAAGAGACTCTGTGAGGAAAGAGGCACAGGAAAGTTATCAGGAATGTCAAGTTAGGAATCGGCTCTGTCTCAACATCTGTTCAGTGTGACCCGAAATGTGAGGGGTGTTGTCAGAATAGCCTGCCTCCTGCCTCAGGCATGTTTGATTTGCTGTATACTCTGAGGGCACGGGGTAGCAGCTGCTGTTCACAGAGGGATGAATCTTTCATGCTTCCTTTTTGGCAGCCTCATTTATTTGCTCTGTTAGCACTTGACTCCAGTGATAACTTTTATGTAAATGGTCAGGAAGAGTTGAGGCCCTTTATATACTGATTTTATATACTTTATATACTAATATACCTTTATATACCTTATATATATATTTATATACATTTATATACTAATTATAAAGATATAGATATAGATCATATTATAAAGATATAGATCATATGCTAGTGCTTGAATGTGGAAAATGCAGTGCTTTAAGGTAATTAGTTGAAAGCGCTGGTCAGATCTTGTATCTTAGGTGAGTCTTTAACGTAATAGATAACCTAAGATAAAATAAATAGTTGCTTAACTCACCTTCACATGAATGAATCAGTTGTTAGTATAGAAATCCCTTCATTTTAGTCAGCCACCTGTTAAGAATGGATTTTTTTTGCTTTTGGCAGTCAGAAGTGGTGAAATTTATTTTGTTTGCTTTAATCATAGAAGTTCTTCATATTGCAGGTTTATCCATTGCCATCCGTATTAGTACCTGATACGTTACACACTTTTAGTACCTGATACATTACACACTTTAACCATGTGCTTCAAATTTATTTTGAGTTGGTTACATATTGTTCACTTTAAACAGTGTATTGCTTGAAGTAGGACTGCATGAACAGCTACTTGTACCATCTATTTACTCCAGAAATACTAGGAACAATGCTGAATTGAAGACAGAAGTCTCAATATCTAGCTTGGATGTAAATCTGATTTCCAGAAATATGCAGGGTATGTTATTTATATGTTGTCTACCTTGGATACTTCTTCAGTATTGTGAGAGAAGACGCCACTAAGTGTTGACATAATGAACACATAAACTGAACAGTAATCCAGGATTTAGTGGGCTTGTAATTGGAATTAAGTAGAGATGATATAGAGCAATCTCAGGGGTGGGAGAACACAGTGAAAGACATTTGTGTGGGTGGATTTGAAGGTACTTCTTGCAGAATAAATGGATGCTGAGAAACTTGGAAAGTATGACTCCAGATTTTGTCCAAATTCATTCTGTTCTCAGCTGTGCTGGCAGAGATTTTAGGTGATTAAAAAGCACAGAGCAATGGTCTCCTAAGATGATTAGTATTGGGTTTTCTTTGGTAACATGATTTGCTTGGAGAGGACCCTGCAGAATGCATTGCGCATGTCTGTTTTCTGTTGCAACTCTCATGTAAGCTTATACCTTATATTGGACAATAATTTGCAAAAATAAAAGGCTGCAGTTATCTAAATAAGGGCATATTTAGTCCAGTTTAACATGTTTCAGTTTCAGAGGTCTGATTCATTATTATCTTTGCCCTTCAGTAGATAACTACATGCACAGAAAGAGTGAAGGGCTCCCAAATCAGAATTCATACAGATTTATAAGACTACACACTGTTTAAGACATTGGAAACCTTAACCTTCCAAACTTTAACAGGGAATTTTGTTCACAAGTAGCTTTTGTAATTAAAGTTGTCATAGCTTGTCAGTTGGTTATTTGGATTGCTTCAGTGCTGGTTTATTTGGATAAATTGTGTTTCCAAACTTTAAATAGCAAGAGGCAAAGCCACAGTTGCATAGCATTTTTCTTAACATAAATCTCCACTGATTTTTCTCTGTTGGTCTTTAGTTGAGCTGATGAGTTGCAGTAGTTTGTTACTTTACAGTAATTGATGGTATCGATGAAAACATGTTTTTCAGAACTGTAATGGACAAAATGTTTTTATATTTAGCTTTCAAGTCCAGATTGCAATAGTAAAGTTCGACTGCGTGAACGTGAAAGGCTGTAGGAGACATCTTGAATTCAAACTGATGTTTCTGGAGATATTTTGGCATGCTTCACGCATACGTGGTGTGTCTCCTGAAAGGGCAAAGGAACTCGCCTGGCTTTTTGAGTCTAGGAGGTCACCTACTGGTTGCTCTGCCTCAGTGCATCCCACACCTCCAGTGCAGCGTCAGGAACGGCCTGAGGAGGGCTGGAGATGCGTCTCAAGTATCGAAATTGAAGCTCTTGTTGCTGCTTCACAAATGGGACCCTACCGTGCACTCAAATACGTTTAAGTAATGCTCTCAATCAGTCCTAAGCCTGTGTTTGAGCTGTGCAAACACGTCTCTAGAGGCTTGGAATAACAATTTTACATGGTGATAAAAAAGGGCAGGCACAGACGTGGCACTGAATTACTAGGACAGCTCTAGTTTCTGTTGCTTGTTAGGAGGTATGACGGTATATTTGATTATGAAATACACTGTAGGAATATTGGCCTCTGGAGGGCACAGCGTTAAAACATGTAGGGAATGTGGATAGTAGTCAAGACATACCCGTTACCAGCATCATCTGGAAAGGCAGGTGTGGTAGTGCGAGTGAGAAACAGCTCTCCTTATCCTTCCTATGGACTCTTGGTCTGCTATGAGGACTTCTCACATACAGTTTTCTGTGAAAAGAAGGATCTTGAGTCTGATTTAAGAAATGCTTAATGAAAATATCTGCTCATCAAAACCCCATTCTTGTACAGAACTCTCTGGTGTCAGGTTGCTTGTGATACACATTTAAAACTAGCATAGATGTCACCACACTGCACCATACAATGAAGGTATGTCCTGAATCCTGCTATGGCATTCTTTAATCTACACAAGTGGACCTCTGACCACCCACTTCTTAAACTCCAGTGTCATAACCAGCCAGAATTCCAAGGTGAATGCTAAATAAGTATCTGCAATGTAGGAGGAAGACGTTGAGACACGTAGTTTACAATTATATGATGGGACTCTTTTTCCTTCGCAGTTTGGTTGAAGCAAAAGGCAGATACTTCTTCCTTTAGGTGGAACAGATATAAATAGAACTGTATTTCAACATAAATTTGCTTCAAAGGAAATGACTAGCCTCCATTCTCTATTAAAACAAATATTTATAACACAAACTAGAATGAAGAGTACTTAGAATACTTTGACTAATTTTTAAACAGGAGTTGTCAACAAATCCACTGGTACTCTCCAGACTTTCTTATTTTGGTGATGTTTAAAATGTAATGGTTTATCCTGATTTGTCCATTGGTATGTTTCTTCTTGGTTAGACAGTGATGTTTTTCTCAGTTTCTCTTGTCTCAACTGAGCTTTGAGAGTCTTAAGCATAGGCAGACAAATTAATCACTATTATGATTGAGCTGGCATGTGAATTTATAAGCTAGAAGTGTTTGAGGTAACTGTGTGTGTTTCCATCCTCCGTTTAATGTGAAGTAATCTCATACCCACTGTTTTTTCATGACAACTTGCTTATGTGCCCACAGAAGTACATCTCTCCTGTATCATCCTAGCATTGCCACGGAAACTAATAACGTGCCCCTGCTTTCGGGAAGTGCATTCAACACTGTAAGATTAACTGTCTTTTCAATTGAGATAAGTAGGCTGCCTTTGCAAGTTGTTTACTTTGTCATAGTTAAAGCAGCAGCCTGGAACCCTGATTATTGTCTAACTTAACCTGAAGATGTATCCACTTATATCCTTTTTATGTTCATTATGTTGGTTCTCAGTTCTTTCAGTATTTTATTTAGTACCACTGGTGGCTCAATACTTTAGATGAAATTCCCCTGGTGATTTGTCGCTTGGTCCTCTGTGTCAAGTGACAGACAGCTTCCCAGGACATGATGCCCGTTCACCCACCCACCATCCATACTGGGTGTGATCACAACCTTTCTACTGCTTATAAAAGCCTGATGATACTTTTGTGACTATCAAAGATGAGAAGAAGATGTGAGGGGTTTGTAGTCATCATTGATTCTTTAATTGCCTTTACAGAATAAATAGAAGGATGAGAAGCAATTACGCATGATCTAAGATAATCTGTGAAGTATTTTAGGGGTAAACTGCTGTCTTTTCCATCAGCACCTCTCCAGTGGTGAGAACTGATGGAAACCTGTTTTTCCAGGAGTAAAATTTCTCTTTACTGGTTGTCATTGTCACGAAAAGGAGATGAGGACCAGCTTGTTCTACTGAAATATAATCCTTTTTTTTTTTTTTTTTTCCATAGAATTTATTCTCAGCCACAGTTCCCATTTCCCACTGTGTGTTCAGAACATGTTTATTAACTGGGGACAGCAGCAGTGGTGGCTTGTGTGCATGTGTGTGTGTGTGTGTCTGTTGTTTTGATTGTTTGTCGGGGTTTTTATTAAGTGGCAGCTTATAGAACTTACTCTGAACACCCAGTAGATAAAGGCAAAACAATCTCAGTCCTAGGTGGGTACAGTATTACCTGCAGATGCTCACAGCCAACTACAAAAAGATCATTGCTCACCAGTGGGGGGAGGCAGTCATTGGACTCTGCAGTGACATGCTGCCCCTGCCTTGGGAGTGGGTTTCCCGTTGCAGTGTAGCATCGCTGAGTTCTCTGGGGTTATCAGATCACTTGTTAAGATAAATCATAGAAGTAAAAACCACCTTTTCTTACTACATAGCTGAACAGCCCCTTTTAAGTGATTTTATTATTTCTTTACACAGTGAATGAGAGATGTACTATGCTCCAAAGAAGGTCTGGCTGATCCTGGAGACAAACTCAATCAAATGGAGAGACAAAATCCACGGTAATTGAAATTTGTTTAATGCATGCTCATTGGTTACATTATTTCTTTGGAAACAGGCTGTGCTTTCCTTTGTTATGCTAGGATCTAAGACAACATAGGAGGGGAAAAACGTTTATTTAAACATTCACATTGCTACTGCCTGAAAGTCTGGTGTTTTGAGTTTGATGCTGCCATTGCACTGGAGGGTGGCACCAGGCTGTTTTCTGTAATGTGTCTTAAGAAAACACTGAATTGAAAATGTCATCTGCTTTTTGCTTATACTAATAAGTTATACGAGGCTTTGGGGAGGATCCCTCAGTAGTGAAGGACAAACAAGTTGGTGCCAAAACAGCAGAGCTAAAGAGGCTTTCCTGATGTCCTAGCTTTCCCCCATGTCCTTTTTGGATATTCTTGCAGTACCCAGAGTCCAGAGCTTCAGATTTTCACAAAATTTGCAAGAATGTACTATCTTAAGACCTCTTAGATAGGTCTTAAGCTTGGCTAAATTAGCAAACAGGTTCAGGAGAGTGACAAGGGTGACAGGCAGATAGCATATGTTTAATTTCATTATGAAATAGGGCTGAAAGAGGCTCTAGAAGGGATTCCCTTCAGGAATCCCTATAGAAGGGATGCTGTATTTGTGGTTGACTGCACAGATGTGACAGAAAGCAGTAATTGGACATCTCCAGCCAAATGTATTTTCAATTACAGGGATGGCAGGACCAGGGAAGCTGGGTTCCTGTTTCATTTAATGGTGAGAATGGCTGATGGGCATGTTGTGAGTGGCTTACTTGGTGTTGCTTTCTTCTTGCCTGATGTAGTGCAGAGCTATAGTTCCTGCACAATATTCCAGCTCTCCTCTCAGCACAAAATGATTAACTGTTTTGCCTTTTTCTGTAACACTCATCACAGCAGAACATTGGTACTTCAGTGGCAGTGTTTTCTCTCAAGATTGTGTGGGGAGAACAGTTCTATAATACCCATTTTTTTTTGCAAGAGAAAGGAGATGTAGGAAGTTTCGCTCAAAAACATCCTTTAGTGTTGATTGCTCTCTTCTGAGCTAGGATCAGAGAGTCCTTTAGGTTGGAAAAGATCTTTAAGATCACCAAATCCAACTGTTAACTCCCTCGCTATCAAGCCCACCACTAAACCATGTCCCCAAGCATCACATCTACACATTTTTTAAACACCTGCAAGGATTGTGACTCACCACTGCCCTGGACAGCCTGTTCCAAAGCTTGACAGCCCTTTTGCTGAAGATATTTCCCCTAATATCTAATCTAAACCTCCACTGGTGCAGTTTGAGGTCATTTCTTCTTGTCCTATTGCTTGTCACCTGGGAGAAGAGAGCAAGTGCTTAGGGCATGCTTTGTCAGACCACCTGGCATTATACATCATTATGTCCAAGTCATAGCTCTTACTGTCCTCAGTTACAGTTACAAATGCTTGAGACTTCTGTGTGTCAGAGCCTGGGCCTCAGTTTGTTATGCAGGGGAAAACAAAGAAAGGATACCTGAAGGTTTGTGGCATAACTGAACTGTGAGCTGTATGCTGCCAGCTGGGAAGGAAGCCAACTGGAAATGTTTGATTGTTTAATGTTAGACAGCCCATTCTCTTCCGCAACCTCCTGCTTGAATTTTTGCCCAAGCAGAGGGGACTTGGTGACCTGAGACCTCATGTCACTCATTCAGCTATGGGGCTACTGCAAAGGCAATTTTCCTGTGCCTGTAGTCCAGCAACAGGCTGGTTTAGTGTGGTGGAACAGATCTTCAGCAACTTTTACTTTAGGGATAGGATGCTGTTCCCTCATTATATAGAGACACATTCCCATATTTTTCACTAGTTGATTTCCAGATTTATTTGGCTTGCCCCTTCTGTGTTTCTAACTCTCAACTGAACCCAGAGAGGCCCTAAGTTTAGGGCATTTCCTAGAGAACATCTAGAAAGTCCTGGTTATTCCATTTCATTAATAACAGAAGCAGAGACCTTATCTGTCTGAGCCCCTACACTGTTTAAGTAAATTGATGTCCACTTTGCTGACCAGCCGGGAAGGACACAGCATTCTTGACTTTCCAGTTTCACAGCTAAGGGTCAGGAATGTCCTTCCTAGTTTTTGTTGAAATAAAACTATGTGTTCCACACACACACTGACCTCTTGTTGTCGTCTCTTAGAACTAGATTTCCAATTCCCATCTCCACTCCTGAAGCTACTCTTAACCAATACTGTTTCAGCTTGCTGATTCAGTTTTAAAATAACCTTCACTCCATCCCTACCTGCCCTGGGCTGCCTTTAGCCCTGGTCTCTTCCCTGATCCAGTTTGCCACACAGCTCCATGAAATTTACATTGGCATGATTAGGGAGAAATTGTGGAAGTGAAACAAGGGAAGAGCTGTTTAAAATAAATACTTCTCCCAAACCAGGCAATTTCTGCTAAATAGGAAAGTCATACTCTCAAAAACCTCATCCAGTGCTATGTCTGTCCTTGGGCTCTGACTATACTTGGGATAGGGGGAACAAATACCATGAAGCTGTGCGGTTCCTCCAAGCTGCACAATAAGTGTCTTACTGGAAGATGTTCTGTAAGGGGAATTGTTCATTCATTCATTACCTTTTGTACGACAACCTGTGCACAAGCCATTGTCCTGAAACACTGAAATTCCAACTCTTCTTACTGCTGATAACATACCCATTGAGTGTAGGAAAGCTGGGAAGCCTTGACCTACAACAACTTAGGACATGAGCTGTTTACCTGTACTAACAGAACATTTGTCCCTGCCTGTGGCAGCGGCATTGGAACTAGGTATCTTTAAGGTCCCTTCCAACCCAAACCATTCTATGGTTCTGTGAACTATAAAAAAATAATTACAATGACATAAGAATCTTTGCAAGAAGAAGAATACTTAGTGAAAAAAGACATCCTGAACCTGACATGCAGGGCGTAAAAAGCTACCAAGGACTGGAGATTACCTGCTGTTGCTGCTTCTGGAAGGGATTTAAAAGTCTGTGTATCATTTGCCTAAACCACTTAACTTAGTGAAGAAATAAGAGAGAATTAGTTGAATGTCAAGAAGAGACTTCCTCCTCATGACACATGCACAGTCCAGGTTAACAGTGACCCCTCTCAACATTGTAACTGTAACCCTGCATACATCTCTACTTTTGCCACAGATTGTGGAACGGTTTAGCTGACACAGCAGGGAGAAGCTCTCCTAGAATTCTCCATGTTTGACCTGTTCCTATCTTGATTATGGTGTAGGAAACCCTGTTGCTGTCTAAGCACACTTGCCTCACATGAAGGAGAAGGGACATCGCATTGAAGTAGTTTGTACTAAGGGATGAAAATGCTTCTGTTTAGTACACCAGGTACTACGCCTTCCTGAAATCTCACTGTAACATACCTATAACCTAAAATTCAGTGTTGAGCACAAGCTTGCATAGTGCATTCTCTGCCGTCACCAGGCTAGAGCACCAGTGATGCCCTCTCCAGCTGCCTTTCTATGCATGCTGTAGTTCTGTGGCCTTTGATCCATTGCACTGAAGTCTGAGGTTTGTGGAGGCATTTTGTGGTGGAAGACCAGGGTATATGTTCCTGTGATCCCTGCTTGATCCCTTTCTTCTTCACTGAAGAAATCTTCAAGGATTTGTTAAGCTAGTGTTGCTCACTGTGTCAGGCTAAGGATGCTGCAATCTTTTCTTCAATTGTAGCAAAGTATATTTAGGAACAGAGCTGGCAATTCGTAGATCATGGTATTCTTCCTTCTGCCACTGGGATATGGACTCACCCCAGAGCTGGAGTTTGCCAGTCAATGGGCTTCATAACCAGCAAGGGATCTCACACCCCTCATAACCAATTCATACTTTTAGATTCCGTAACATCTTGTGTTAATGAGTTCCACAACTTGGTTATACGTACTTCTAAAGGACAACCGAATCACCGGCCTCCATCCAGGTCTTGTAGTG